TGGCGCAGGGGTCGCGGGGAAGGGAGCCCCCGGCGTGGTGGGAGCTGGGAGCTGGCGTGTTGGTTCTTTTTGTTCATTGAGCAGGGCGGCGATGTCTTCTTAAAAGGAGAGGAGCAGAGGTGAATTTCTGTGCCTCGGATCCGTGGGAGCTGTGAAAAGCTCGCCCCTTTAACCCGTCCCCCTCTCCAGCTGGCCCGCGTCTTCCCGCCCCCCAGCCCCCAACCCCGGGGCGTCGAGAGGGGGCGAGGCCCAATTAGAGGGGCCCCGGGCGCGGCTGTGATCCCTCCCTCCTCCGCCTTTCATCCCCGCCTGGAGGAGGGCCGTGATGGGCGATTGTCTCCCACCACTCGGGTTGAACGCCGGCCCAGATCGCGTTCGGAGCCTTGGGGAGGTTTTTTGGGGGGGCGCTTCTTGTTTGTTGCCTTGCGTTTTGTGTTTTTTAGGTGAGCGCGTTTGCAACTAGGAACCATCTATGGTCTTTATGGGCTGGCGCGCTGGCGGAGGAAAAAGATTTGGGAGTTTTTGAAACGAGACGTTTGGGACCAGAATCTTAAGGAAAGAGGCCAAGGAATTTTCCAGCAAATACCTGTATGTGCCTCGGCTTTTGTTCTCATCTGAAACTTGGAAAACTCCCGAGCTCCTGGCTTTAGTCTGACCGGTGCCCCACTTACTGCATCTAAACTGTGATGTGATTGACTTGCCATTTATCAGTTGGGCCGAGCACTTTTGGGCCACCCAACTTCAGCTATTTATGAATGTCACTCACCTTCAGCGGTGTGCCGTTCAGAACATTTTCTCGTTACTCCCCTCAAGGGTTGTTACAAGTGACGGAATTCATACCATGTGTTGGGATCATTCATTACCTACGCTTAGATAGAAAACATGTTCATCGTGACGTTATCCACTAAACTTAAATCAAATTGATGTTTCAGTGCAAGGTACTGTAACAGATTCACGTGGAAATAAGCACTTATATACATGACTCATATAGATATACAACAAAGGCTGCATCAGAAAAGAATTTGTTTTCCTATTTATATCGAAGGCCTCTTTCACCTCTTTTCCCAGAGTAAAAGTTAAGTCCTGCTTCTTTAGGACCACATATTATAAATTTTGTATATTATACATTTTAATTTATTTTTTCTATATATGGTCATATTTCTTTTGAGGTCTGGAGGAACATTTACTAAAGTCTCAGAAAAGAAAGGCGAGCTCTATATTGATATTTTTTGTTCTGTCCTCTAATACGAAGCATTAACTTGATTGATTGGCTGGATGTGAAAGATGTGTTGCTGTATGTATGTGAAACTGTGCATGTACATTTAAAAATAAATGGTACTTTTAACCAGTTCCATATTTCAGCAAGTAGTTCCAGCAACAATTATACAAATTTTGTGTTTATGGAAACCAGCTACAGGGAGGCCAGCCTAGCCAGTAGAAAGTTGGATTGATTATCTAGGCCACAGAGAGAGCCAGAAGAGTCTCACATAAGTGGTAGTTCAAGTTAGTAGTGGTAGAGCCTCAAATCAGGCTAGAAGTCAGCACCAAATGGTTTTTTAAAAATTTTATTTTAGGCTGGAATACGTATATTTTCTGTTCTATATATATCCTGAATGATTGATTTTTTTTAAATATGAAAGGACACTTACAGGAGAAGTACATTGAATTTTCAGTGTTTTCATAAAAATACAAAACTGGAGAAGGAAAAACAATTCAGATAACAATACAAATCTTGAATTTTTTTTATTACCAAATACCAAATAACTTTTTTTTCTGGACTTGGTTTGGAAAGGAACTTGTAAAGTTATCTCAGCTGTTCTGTTAGGCTCTTTATGAACTCTGCAGGGAATTTAGAAACTGTTTTTCTGTCAAGATCTGTAATACGGGATAATCTAAAATGTTCCTTGATAATGCATTTCTACTTTTCTCTAGTTACAAGAAGGCAGAATTCATATGGAAATCACCTTTTTGAAGCTGTATACTCTGTTTATAAACAATTAAGTGATTTTTAGTAAATTTTTGGAATTGTTCAGTGCTCACCATAGTTGAGTTTGCATCACCTTAACGAGTTTGCACATGCAAGTTTGTAGTCAGTGCTGGCTCCTGCTTTCAGGCTCAGGCTATCATTGATTTGTTTTCTATATCTATGTATGTTTTCTGGATATATTTCATATAAATGAATTTTTAAAATATGTGCTCTTTGTGTCTGGCTTCTTTCACTTAGCGAACTGTTTTTGAGATTCATCCATGTTGTAGCATATATCTGTAGTTTGTTCCTGTTATTGCTGAGTGGTATTTCGTTATATGGATATGCAACATTTAAAGATCAGTTGATGAACATTTAGTTTGCTTCTACTTTTTGACTTTTATGAAAAATGCTGCTGTGAATATTTGTGTGCAAGTTTCTGTGTGGACATATATATATATATTTTTCTTGGATAGGTACATATGAGTGGAATTGCTGGGTTGTATAGTAAGTTTATGCTTAACTTTAAAAATCTACCAAACTATTTTCCAGTGTGGCTGTACCCTTTTACGTTCTTACCATAGTGATGCATGAAGGTTTCAGTTTTTCCACATCCTTCCCAACAGTTGTTAATGTGTCTTTACTATAAACATCCTAGTAGATATGAATTGGTATCTGATCGTGGTTTTAATTTGAATGTCCTTGTTGGCTAATGATGCTGAACATATTTTCATGTGTTTATTAGCCGTTTTTTATATATATGTCTATTCAAATCTTGTTTTCATTTTTTCATTGGGTTGTCTTATTGGGTTATAAGCATTTTTTGTATTTTCTGGATACAAGTACATTTTCAGATATGTGTCTTGCAAATAATTTCTACAGGTCTATTTGTCTTTTCATTTTCTTTATGGTATCTTTTGAGGCACAGACATTTTATTGATTTTGAGGAAATCCAGTTTACCAGTTTCTTTTTCTGGATTATATTTGAGATCTATGGCAAATTTACAATTAATTTTTGTATGTGGTATGAGGAATGGGTCAAAATTTATTTTCTTTCTTTCTTTTCTTTTTTTTTTTTGAGTCAGGGTCTCGCTCTCTCTCCCAAGCTGGAGTACAGTGGCATTGATCATGGCTCACCGCAGCCTCAGCCTCCTGGACTCAGGCAATCCTGCCTAACCCTCCTGAGTAGCTGGGACTACAGGTGCACGCCACTACGCCTGGCTTATTTTTTGATTTTTTTGTAGAGACAAGGTCTTGTTATGTTGCCTAGACTGGTCTTGAACTCCTGGGTGCAAATGATTCTCCTGCCTTGGCCTCCCAAAATGCTGGGATTACAAACATAAGCCACCATGCCTGGCCCAAATATATCTTTTTGCATGTGGATATCCAGTTGTCTCAGAACCATTGGTGGAAAAAATTGTCCTTTCTCCATGTAATTGCTTTGGCACTTTTGTCAAAAATCAGTTGACAATTAGTGTAAGAGTTTATTTCTAGACTCTTATTTCTGTTTCAGTGATCTGTGTTTCTTTTTTTTTTTTTAAGTTAAAAATGCCTTAATTTTTTATTCCTGGTACCACTATTGCAATTTACAGGGCAATTTACCTGATGTAAGGAAAAGGAAAAGACAAAGGTACAACAGATAAAAGATTTCAGAAATGTACATTTAACTCACACTACCTGGCGTTGGTGCTGCACTCTTTGCAAACTGTGGTATGACAATCCTGGACAAGAAGGGTTTCCTGTTTAAGCTCCAGTAACTTTTCTGACTGCAGAACATTGTTTCTTCTGTGGCAGATTTTTATAGTTCCTCTAGTGTATTTGGGACAACTTTCTTAAAGTAACCTGCAGGTTTCTTGATAAATCCTTGCTGTCTCTTCTGCTAAGCTCTTGTGCTGTTTTTAGAACCTTCCACTGTATCTGCCACTTCCACCCCCAGATGCATAGTCACCACCATAAGACTTACCCCAGCTTCTTTCACCAAAACTGCTCCCTTTTGTGGGTCCATAAATTGATTGCTGCTCTCCGCTGTAATTTCCAAAGTCATTAGAGTTACCATCACCGCCACCACGTTGTTGCTCTCGCCCAGGTTTCCTCCTCCATTGTAAACATCACATCCTCAACACCACAGCCACCACATCCACTGCCTTGGCTCCCATATCCCGGTCTTCTGCCACCAAAGATTCCTCCATGACCTGTAAAGTTGCCAGATCCACCTCCACACCCCTTGGCTATCCAGTGGACTGCATCACTTACTAATTAATTAATTAATTTTTTGAGTCGGGGTCTTACTCTGTCGCCCAGGCTGGAGTGCAGTGGCACAATCATGGCTCACTGCAGCCTTGACCTCCTGGGCTCAGGTGATCCTTCCACTTCAGTCTCCTGAGTAGCTAGGATTATAGGCATGCACCACCACACCTGGCTAATTTTTTTACTTTGTTGTAGAGATGAGTTTTGCTCTTTTTTCCCAGGCTGGTGTTGAACTCCTTGGCCTCCCGAAGTGCTGGGATTATCGGCATAAGCCACCACGCTCAGCTTGCATCCCTTACTTAGAAAGAGCTTTTCCACTTCGCAATTAGACTCATTAATTGTGTGCTATTTTTGAACAACAGTTTTATCAACTGTTATCATGATCATCAAAAGTTAGAAAAGCATGGGGAGCTGAGGCAAAAGGATCCAGAGGATCTCTTGGGCCCAACGAAGAACTGTAAATGTCTGCTACAGAAGGAATGATCTATAATAAAAAAAAGTTACTGCAGCTTAAAGAGGAAACACTTCTTGTTCAGGACTGTCAAATTCACAGTTTGCAAAAAAGTGCAGCATTGATTAATACAAGGTAGTTTCTGTTAGATGTACATTCTGGAGGACTTTTATCTGTTGTAATTTTGTTGGGTTTGAGGTTATAGTGAGCTGTGATCTTATCATTACGCTCCATCCAGCCTGGGCAGCAGAATGAGACCATATCTGTAAAAAAAAAAAAACAACAAAAAAATGCAAAATCTCTTTTTTCTCTCCACTCCGCCTACCTTCCATAACTTCTATAGTTTCAGTCCTTCCATACTTTTCCAAGTAGTTTCTCAAATTGTCTTCTTCTGCACCTTCTTGAATACCACCACCAACAATATTCTTTGCTGTTAGATGGCCACCAGGCTTTACAGAACACCCTCTCGAAACAGCTCCACCCTGTTAACCTTGTGTGGTCCAGTACACATTGCTGCGTCCACCTCTTCCACACCAGAGGAAGTCACAAAACCAAAGTCCCTGAAATGAAATGTTTTGTTTGGAGGGTTCTCATTACTACACAACCTGTGAGTAGGCCCTGTTTCTCAAAATGTTCTCCTAAACTATCATGTGTCGTTTCAAATCTCAGATCCCCACCTGACAGCTTTCTCAACTGCTCTGGTTCCTTGGAATCAGCACTTCCCCCTCCCGTGGCTGTTGTGATGGCTGGAGTTGGGCTGTGGCCCATTGGCAGTTTTACCTCTAGTCTGAGAATGGACTTGCCTTGCTAGCTTTGTGTTTAATATGGGACTGAGAGGAGGAGGCCTAGTCTTAGTCATCAAAAGTTAGAAAAGCAGTACCACACTGTCTTGATTATGGTAGCTTTACAATAAGCTTTGAAGTTGAGTAGTGTAAGCCATTCAATGTTTTCCTTTGTTTTCAAAATCCAGTGTGTGCCTGCTCCTTTTCCTGACTATTCTGGTTCCTTATATTTCCATGTAAAATAACCGTTCTGTGATAGATTTTGGTAGGCATTGTATTGAATTTATAGATCTGTTTGGGGGAGAAATACTATCTCAACGTGATCATGGAACATCTTTCTGTTTGTTTAGATCTTTAATTTTTCTCAGCAGTAATTTTCCTTGTACAAATCTTGCCCTTATTTTGTTAAATTTATTTTGAAGTATTTTATTTTTGACTATTGTGAATATAATTGTTTTTGAATTTCATTATTGGATTCTTCATTGCCAGCAT